CAGCCTTCCTGCGCGGCGACAGCTCGACCGGTGCGTCAGTGCGTCCCACTCGTCGGCAGCAGTGTCGCGCCTGCTCGCTTACGCCGCGGCCTGCCCGGCCGGAAGCGAGCCGAACGTCTGGAAATCCAGTCGGCACCGCGACCGGACCGGGTCGGGTCGGGCCGGGCCAACACAAACAGCAGCCGACGGGCCGCCGGTGCGACACCGCGCACGAGCCGCCTCCGTGCCGACGGTCTCGCTGTCCTGCCGTCTCCGGCACAATCCGGCTAGTCAGCTGATCCGTGTAACCAAGGCGACCGCTACGCCATTGGTCCTTTTCGGGGAAAAAATCTAGCCGCGCCGGTATTTATTTGACGCAGTCGTTTAACACATGGTTCTTCGGTGCATTGTCTATAAAATTCTGACAGAAATGATCTCGCGGTAGCCTCTGACTTCTGTCCAACCCAGCGAAGGAAAAGGTGAAAAATAACAAAGAATAGCATGCCTCCATCAACAAATGAACCATATCTAGCAATTTTGTATTGGGCAGGGGGCTCTCACTAGCAGGGGAACGCGTTGACAACCCTATGCCCTCCATACCACGGCTCTGGCTGCGCCCCTGTCACCCCATCTCCACCCCCCCCCCCCCCCCCCCGCCAGCTCGCCACCCGGTCGGCCTACACAGCCGGCCACAAGGCTGTCAGCAGGTGCGGGGGGGGGGGGCTGTGGTGCGCGTGTGTGCGTGTGGGCGTGATGGAGGATCGGTTTCACTCGGCCGCCCCAGCGGCTGGTTTGTTTCCGGATTGGGGTTTCAACGGTGCCGTGATGCGGCTCACACCAGGGCGCGAGCTGAAGTGTGAGTATTGAACAGCGATCAGCAGAGGGCCGTCCAGTATCGCCTCCTGCGCTGTACTGAACCGCTTATCCGCGGCTGGATGTCGCCGAGTCCTTTTGTAGCCGTCCGCCTGCCGCGGGGACAGCCCATAGCACACAGCACGGAGGTGGCTTTGGGCAGCCCTGAACACGCCGGAGCGGAACACCAGACTCACCGCCGATGCTCCCGCCGTCCGACGTACCACAAGCACGTCAGCGAAACTCCAAATCAACTCGGAGTACTTTGGTAATTGGATAAATGCTAGTCCGAAACTATGTAACCTGGTCCACGCCAACCGTCGAAGGCCAGCTTCCCTGTCCCTCGTCGGCCAGGTCCCCCAGTGCACGGGGCACCGGGCGGCGGGCGGCGGGTGGCCACTGCGGCATCGTTCGCCGCGGGAGCGTCCGCGTGCTCCGCTAGCGTTTGTCCGCCGGGCCAGGCCGAGGCGACCCCGGGGAGCGGCGTCGCTCGAGCGAGCCATCAGAGCGCCCGGCGGGCCACCGGGCCGGGCCGAAATAGGTCCGGGCCGGCCGCCCGGGGACACAGCGCGCGCCGATGCGTAAGGTCATTACTGGGCCGGCGGACACGACACCGGCGGATACGACACCGGCGGACACGGCAGGGCCGGCACACCGGAGGACACGGCAGGGCCGGCACACGGGCGGACACGGCGCCGGCGGACACGGCAGGGCCAGCACACCAGAGGACACGGCAGTGCCGGTACACCGGCGGACACGGCGCTGGCGGACACGGCGCCGGCGGACACCACGGGGCCGGCACGCCGGCGGACGCGGCACCGGCGGACACGACGAGCAGGCGCACTGCCGGCGCAGGGGCAAACAGGAGCAGCCCTGTGACGCGTGTATGTCGCGACAGCCAACAGGCCGGAGGGATCACGTGACGCGATCAGGACAGCCGGGGGCTCACGTGAAACACGACCGGTCTAGCCCACGAGGCGGGGACGGCACAGAGCGAAGCCAGCGCTGGGCACGCAATAGGTCAGGCAGGCTGACCTCTGATCAGTCAGGCTGATCAGGCAGGCTCACTCTCGTGGTCTCTCACCACCCGCTGTGTACTCGCCTCGCGTCACGGCGGCGCGGCCAGAGAACGATGGGCGCCCTAGATGACCGCGCGCTTCCCAAATGGACGAGCGGCGGCCACTCACTTATGGCGACTTTGCTGGATGTCTCCTTGCAACAGTAGCACCGCTGTGCCCGGTCACCCACCGCAGCCGGTAAGTGACGCGTCCCGGACCGTGGCTTGGACGTCCTGCAGCGCAGGACAGAGACGGTACGCCCCGCACGTGACATGTGGGGCTGGTTCGGCTCCAGCGGTGTGCCGTCTCAGCACCGGAGGCAGGCTCGGCGCGCCGCCGAAGCGCAATCACATCAGCCGACAGCAGACACGAATGCGAAGCGCATAAACGTCCACGGCGATCACCGGCCACAGCCATGAGGCTAGCCAGGCCGGTCTGTCAACGGAGAAGCGTGGCATTCCGTTCCAATACGCCGCGCCCCGGCGGTGCTCTGAATCCACGGCATGATCTTCAGCCCAGGGCGGCTGGGCTTTCAAGTTCGAACCGTCGGTGACCCACATACCAGTGGGCGCAGTCAAAATAGTGAGGGCGGGCGCACCTCGCCTCAAGGTCGGCCCGCTGGTAACCCAGTTGGGTGACAGCCTGGGACGGGCGGCCGCGGCCGCCGCGGGAGTCTCCGCCCGGCCGGAGTCGCGACCGACCCACTGGCAGCTGTCCGCGGGAGTCTCCACCCGGCCGGAGTCCCGACCGACCCACCGGCAGCTGTCCGCGGGAGTCTCCACCCGGCCGGAGTCGCGACCGACCCACCGGCAACTGTCCGCGGGAGTTTCCACCCGGCCGGAGTCCCGACCGACCCACCGGCAGCTGTCCGCGGGAGTCTCCACCCGGCCGGAGTCGCGACCGACCCACCGGCAGCTGTCCGCGGGAGTCTCCACCCGGCCGGAGTCGCGACCGACCAGCCGGCAGCTGTCCGCCGGAGTCTCCACCCGGCCGGAGTCCCGACCGACCCACCGGCAGCTGTCCGCGGGAGTCTCCACCCGGCCGGAGTCGCGACCGACCCACTGGCAGCCGTCTCCAGCCTGCGTCCAGCACACCGACGCAGAGCTCCTGTGTAGTGCTGACAAGGCCCGATGGACACATGCCACGCTCGCAAAACATTCTGCATTTTTCCCAATCGTAACAAACATTATTTTGCAGGCCTATCGAGTGCTTTCATTTCAAGTTTACCAGGAATGACAGATTCATGATCATGACCAGAGCCCGCCGCGGTTCGCTATCTGGGCGACGGACGATAAACCTACGAACGGCCGAGTAGGTAATAAAGTTTTTATTGACTCTTTTCAGGTGAAACCATATGATTCACACTTTTCCAGGGAGGACGGACAGCAGCAGGCGAATCCACTGTCGCCGCGCCCGGAGTGCCTGCGAGTCTTGGGATCCCAAGACGTCCTCTCCCCCACTCGCCGAGCAGTGGTCACGGCGTTTGCGTCCGGATCAGGTGGGCCGCTCAGAGTCGCAGCGGCCCGTTCAGAGCCACAACGAGCCGCTCGGAGCCGTAGCGGCCCGCGCAGAGCTGCAGCGGGCCGCTTCGAGCCGTAGCGGCCGCCCTTTCAGCACACTCCGTTCCTGGCCGGGGTCACTTGCCCACGCGTAGATACAGCGCGACAGCTCCGGCCGAACATACCGTGCACAGGTGCACGGTTGGCGGCATCGGTACCGGCAGCACACACCCTGCCAGCCACCTCGCAGTTCCGCAATGACTGGAGCGCGGTCAAAGCTCGGGGGAGACGGCTGGTGCCTTTTGGGGCCTGCGTGACGAGCACCAGTCCACAGCGAATGCTACTCACCGCTCACGGTATTACACAGGCACGCACATAGCATCGGACCGAAGCCAGGTGGCTGCTGCCAGGTTGCACAATCGCTAGCTGTCGTGGTAAATGCGCGATTGTCCTGAGCCCAGCGTCGCTTCGCCCCGCAAAAACCGTCCACAAACAGCCCGGCAGCCGCAGCCGCGGCGCCAAGCGTGTGGCCCACCAGCCCGGCGCGTCATCACAACAGCGAGCGGCGGGCTGCCAGCGTGGCCGAAGCTGGCCGGCGCGGCGCCGCCGACGCCACGTCCGCCGACTTCCGGACATGAGCCGGCAGGGGAGGGGCGGGCTGCCAGCGTGGCCCCGCCGACGCCACGTCCGCCGACTTCCGGACATGAGCCGGCAGGGGAGGGGCGGGCTGCCAGCGTGGCCCCGCCGACGCCACGTCCGCCGACTTCCGGACAGGAGCCGGCAGGGGAGGGGCGGGGAGGGGGAGGGGACGGAATGCGTGGCGGGCGGCCACTGGCACCGGCCGCGCTCAGGAATGCCGGCGCCGGGCGGCCGCGCCCGCCGACGCACGCGCACACGCACAAAACATCTCCAGAATTGTGCCGCGCGCCCTGCCAGCTGATAGACAAATGTGCGAAGACGACGGCGGAGGGGGGGGGGGGGGGGGGGCGGATGTCCTGGGTCGTCACGGTGACGACAGAAAGCAGGGATAGGTGTCACCAGCCAGGACTGATGACGTCCACAGCAGGTGGAGTGGACGTGAGGGGGGAGGGGAAGGGACTAGTGACGCAGTTCACGGATCACGAGTCACGGAGGTCAGAAAAGGGTTGGGACAGATCAGGAGGGCGTAATGACAGAGTGGTTAACGCCTTTCGTTCCCGCGTGGAGGACCCCAGTTCGAATCCCGGTTGCGTCGTGGCCCCTGAGCGCTAATATGACTACTGCAGTCTCTGGGGTTCCATAAAGGGTGCGCGATGACTGCGTCGTACATCCACAGAAAAGTCAGGTGAAAGAGTCCATACAGGGTTCTGTGACAGCAGCCAAGTAGTCTGGAGGAGCATCCACCGACATGATGAAGAGACCGACGACAGCGGATCGCGTTGCGAGGGTCGGCCGCACGACAGTGAGACTGCGGGTCACGCCACGAGGTGGGCGCGCCGCACTCCCGGACGGGCCGCGCAAACCGCCCGGTGGCTCAACGGCAGGAGAGGCCAGCTGGTCAGTCCCGCCAGCTGGCGCCAGACGCCGACGGAGCGGAGCGGGGCGACGGCACCACCGCACCCGCCTCACCCACCTCGTCCGATTCGGCCTTGTCGATCTGGCCGTCGGCGTCATCGTCCAGCTGCAGGTGTAGCGAACTGATGGCGTCGTACGAGAGCAGGTCCTCCTCAGCCTCCCCTGGCGGCGGCGGACGGCTGGTCACGACAGGACACAGACACAGACACAGACACAGACACAGACACAGACACGGACACGGTCACGGACACGGACACGGTCACGGACACGGACACGGACACGGACACGGACACGGATACGGACACGGACACGGACACGGACACGGACACGGACACGGACACGGACACGGACACGGCACGAACACGGACAGCGGCGGCTGGGCCGCCGACACTGAGGCGCCTCTGCGCTGCTTAGCCTGCATTTTCCAAACAGGACGAAGATGACACGTAGCATGCGGTTCTCGTGACAACGTGGAAGTCTGTTCCGGCTCAGGACCGGCATGCGACAGGCAATAATGGTCCGATTTTATGTCAGAGAATACAGATTTGGTTCGCACAAGAAATGCTGACCCCGAAAACGATGACGTCGTGCGACGGACTTACTAGCCACCAGACTCGGGGTTTTAGCCAGGTAAACACGTGAGAAAAGAACAATAATTATAAACGGGGGCGGGGTGACAGCCCTTACAAGCCCCGATTGTCACGTGCGCCTGTCACACAGATTGCCCACGACGAACTTTCAGAAAGCACGATAAACTAGACTTACTCCTCACCACCATATGCTGCATCTTTCCTAAACGCGTTTGCTGTACCCCTCCCCTCCCCTACCTGTCAAGGTGTTAGCGAGCGAAGTCTAATGATTTGCTACCATCAAGTGGATTCCTCGAGAAGCTTACAAATGATTTTTATCAGAGTCAGCATAAAGGACGGCCGCAGCACAGATAATTTTCACTGACGCAGCAGCAGAGTCCGGAACAACCATGACGTACGGCGCCGGCTGCAGTAAATCCGTGGTCGCGCCGCCATGCAATTTTACAGCCCCTGCAACGACCGAGCCGGCCGTCTGTTATGGGGGCTTACAAGGGATTGGGACCCTATGCACCTGTGATCTCCTTCTCGGCTGGCTCGTCTGGATGCCACCGACACCTATCTAACGGGCGCGTCGGACAGTCAGCCGAGGCCGGGCTCCTCGCGAGCGGTGGCCGGCCGGACGGCGCCTCGCCGCCGGCACCAGTCCGTCTCCACCAGCCTGGCCCGCAGGCTGGCCACGGCCGGGCTCCTCGCGAGCGCTGGCCGACCGGACGGTGCCTCGCCGTCGGCACCAGTCCATCACCACCAGCCCGGCCCGCAGGCTGGCCACGGCCGGGCTCCTCGCGAGCGGTGGCCGGCCGGACGGCGCCTCGCCGCCAGCACCAGTCCGTCTCCACCAGCCCGGTCAGCAAGCTGGCCGCGGCCAGGCTCCTCGCGAGCGCTGGCCGACCGGACGGCGCCTCGCCGCCGGCACCAGTCCGTCCCCACCAGCCCGGCCCGCAGGCTGGCCGCGGTGGGGATCTGGACGGTCCTGCCTATGCTCGTTGACGGCATGCGAGTTGGGGTGGGGCAGCGAGAGGCGAACAGTGCGCCGTACGGGTCGGCCAGTGCCTTGACGCAGGAAGTTCAGTTCGCCAGTTGGTTCAGTAGCTAATTTAATTCAGATAGACCGTCCCCTCTGCTTAAATGAAGCAGGAACTGTGATAATAGGCCCGGAACCGTTCTCTCGCGTCTCCAACTGACAGCGGCAAGCCCAGCTGGCGAACAGGTGGCTCAGCTGAGCCCGTACCCATCTCTGTCATGTACTGAGCAGCAGGTGTGACAACAGGCGCGCAAGTGCACAGTTGGTTCACTTGGTTGTTCACCGGCGCCACCACGGCAGCCGTACCCCGAGCACAGCTCTTCCTGCTCACAAGAACGCCTCACGTCGCCCGTCGTCCGGCACTGATGAGCCCGTGCCGGGCGGCTGGCGCGTGACGCCGTCCCGCGCCCGTCGGACCGCCTGCCGTCAGCGCCCAGCGTCACGGCCCCACCCGCGCCCCTCATCCGTCACGTCGCCGCGGTCCACGACGCGACGTCACGAGCGGGCGTCCGCGTCACGCTCGCCAGGGGTGACAGCGGCGTGCCGTCGGGTCGGGCCTCAACACGAGCAGTCCGCCTTGGGAGCGCTTCTGCGGCCTGGGCTGGCCGTTTAGCCACTGGGAGGTCCCGCTGTTTACGGAGCTGGGCCGGCCACTCATGACAGCGTGCGCCACATATTAAGAAGAGTGCTAACGTCGAGCGCTGTTTCAGTTCGGCGCCCCAGCGCGGAATGAAAAAAAAAACGCGAGAGAAAACAACTCAACCTCTGTAAATAGGGAAATTCGGAGCACACAAACAGACACTTGAATCGACCGCCCAGCAGACACAGAGCCAGGCAGACGGAGAAAAGAGGCGGCCGCAGGCGGCCGGAAGGAGGGCACCGACCCACAGCCGCCGTTACCCGGCCTCGGCTGCGCAGCATCTGTGGTTCTGGCGGCCGCGTAAGGTCAGCCGCTGCCCGGGCGCCAAGGCTCACAACAGGTGGCCGGCCGCCGAGCCACCGTAACCAAGCGGTAGGCGGGCGGTGACGGCGCTGCCACCGACCACACGGACGGCGTCACACGCCGGCCGCCGGCACGGCTCGGCGACCGCACCGTTCCAGTCACCGGGCGGCGGCCGGCCAGCTGGCGACGGGGGGCGCGGAGCGAGCGGCGCCCAGCCGGCCCGAGGAGTCCGGCTGGGTTTCCGCGGACTCGGCTTCTGCGCCGGTACCCGACGTCGGAACTGTTCCAGCCCACGGCACGACGGATCCGATATACTGCGATGACCCAAACAGCGGGGTACAGTCGACAGTGCGGAGCCGAGCTGATGACCGGGCACTGCGTGCGGTCATCAGCCCGGCTGCCCACCCACAGCGCAGCATGGGCGGCGGTCCGACGCCGCTCGGCCGTCCGCTGCTGAACGTCGGAGGCCGGGCTAGCGCCGTCGCGCCGTCGCGCCGCCGCCGCCGAGTCGAGTGACGTCACCGCCGCCGAACCGAGTGACGTCACCGTGCCTGGCGACGGCGGTCGCAGCCACGATGAGGCAGGATCACACCGGCCCGGCTCGGACCGGCCTGGCGCCGCGCGCTGTTTGTTGACTGTTGACTGCGCGCTGTTTGTTGTTGGCCTGAGTGTTTGAGTGTCCCCAGGTTTATGCACTATGGCTGTGGACGGATGATACCCAGGTCAGCGGAGCACGGTAGCAGGACGCGGTCATTCAGGGAGAAAATATCCGAAGCGAGCTCCAGTCACAAAGGGGCGTGCTGGATTCGGTTTCGCTCAATCGACGGTCGGTCGTCCAAACCCTTGGGCCGGTGAGTGCTCGCAGCGTACAGCCGCAGGATACAGATTGGGAAAAGCCGACCGATCGAATCATGCAGGAAACGAATGGCACCATGACATTAACAAAGATGCGAATACTATTGCAATCATTCAAAGCCACCCCGAATGCCATTACGAAGCCGGCTTTGAAGGAAGACCTGATTACTACATGATTTCGACCCGAAATGGACATAACGACGGCGGCACAATGCCATCAGGCGGAACCAAGCACTCCCCAACGGCGTGACGAACACTTCACATTATTCCCACCGCGTGCGGAACAAAACGCCGGCATACCCGATCGCTGCGCGATCAAAGAGCAGGGCCGCCAGGGCGGCAGGTACCGTCCGCACATCACGAGTGGAGTCTGGGTGGTGATGGGACGCCGTTCGTTCGCCCGCCGCCGCCTCGTGCCGTCGGCGGGCCGCACCGCGCCCACCGGCGCACCGCGACGCTCCCAGCCGACAGCCGCGCGCCGGCACCCCGGCGCGTCGCCACTCCCAGCAGTCCGACTCGGCCGGGCAGTGTGACGAGGCACCGCACCGGAGCCACAGCAGAGCCGTGCGCACAGCATTGGCGACAGAAGCAGGGCCCGGTCGACGACAGCACGAACGAAACTTTCCTACCGCTAGCCGGCGAAGCCGCCCGAACCATCCCAACCAGTCCGAGTCGCAGACTGGAACTCGGTGCGGAGCCGGGAGCTGACTGGGATACGGAGCCGGCGGAGCAGAGCCGGACCTGGGCCTCAGGTCGGCAGCCGCCGGCGCCGGGCCAGCGCGCAGGCGACGCAGTCTCCTGGTGACGTTCGTGCTGTCGCCCGGCGCGGTGCGGCGCACACGGCCGCGCCGGCGAACGCAATCGGCTTAGACCCCCGCTCGGCTGGCATGGCCATAACCGATAAACGCGCCGACAGGCCGCGCCGCAAGCGGCCGCTTATCCCGCCGGCGGCCGGCGGCCCATCAGCGCCGCACACCAGCCTCGTCAAGGCGGTCACGTGACGCCCCCCGCCTCGCATCCGCCTCCGCCGCCTGAGCTCCCGGAACGACTCTTCGTCGGCCGAGGCCTGGTCAGGGTGGCCCTGGTCGGGCAGGGCCTGGTCCGACTGGGTCAGGCGGGGTCTGGTCAGGTCCGGTGATACCCTCCGGCCCGGCCCGGTCAGGCCTGGCACGTCCGGTCGGGTCACACCCCGGCTGCCCAAATGGTGACCCCGTTGTCGCCACGTCCCCTGGGTCCGTTCCAACACGAGACCGGTCGGCCACTTCCACAGCGCCCATCAGGCCCGCAGTCCACTCCGCGGCGTGCTGCAGCGACACGAGGTCGGGTAGCCACCTACTGCAGGCCAAGCCCTTCTAGCCCACTGTCTAATGCTCACAAATGCATGACAGGGAAAGAGCCTGGACAAAGTGATTACTGAGATAGCGAACACCTAGTGAATGTACGGACCCGTTCAACGCGCGAGCTTCAGGGCAGACGTCTACAAACCCCGAGGCTGGTCTGGCGACATAACGGACCAGCAACTGAGCATCCGGCACTCCTCTTCAGGTACCCAAGGCAACGATAGTTTTGTGCGTGCGTGCAAGTATTCGTTACATGTTGGAGTAATCATCCAGCATTCACTGGTGGAAAGTTGCGCACATTTTGACCGAGGCGCGGCCGATAAGTACCGAAGACAACCACACGGATGTCCCTTGCTTCTCATCGACCTGGGGCTGTTGAGGATTATCCATTTGTGCCCTCTAACGTCGCTTTCATCATGAAACGCACATGTGAAGCGTGTTTCTTATACAAAAGCAATTCACCATCCGCACACGCAACAGATAAAAACAGAGAGACACGAACAAACGAACGCCCCCACCCACCCAGTTCCCCCGCCGTCGTTTAGCCGCGGTGCCGGCTGGGGCTCGCTTGTAACACGAATGTGTCCCCCGCCCTTCCCCATATCCTCACCTGAGCCTCGCTCGGGCGCTGTGGACGGCGCGCCGGCCAGGGCTGCTGTCAGCAGCAGCCCCAGCAGCAGCAGTGGCAGCAGCAGCAGAAGCCGGTATCCGGCCATGGTTATTGGTGGGCCAGCACACAGGGTCCCTGCAACATGGGAGCCAGGTGTCAGCCAGATGGTGGGCCAGCACACAGGGCCCCTGCAACATGGGAGCCAGGTGTCAGCCAGATGGTGGGCCAGCACAGAGGGTCCCCACAATATGGGAGCCAGGTGTCAGCCAGATGGTGGGCCAGCACACAGGGTCCCTGCAACATGGGAGCCAGGTGTCAGCCAGATGCTGGGCCAGCACACAGGATCCCTGCAATATGGAAGCCAGGTGTCAGCCAGTATGCTGCGCCAACCTGTGGAAGCTCACAGCAGTTGGGAGGGAGGAGCAGGTGGAGCTGACATGTCACACCAGGGGACCCTGGTGATGGTTAGACTAAAACCACATGCTTTGAACACTACCTGACCAGATACTGTGGGGATAGGCAGACATCAAATCAACAGGCAAACCAGGATCTGTGGCAAGCATCCACTCACATAAAGGTGGGCTCTTCAAGGTTTGTTATGTTTCTGCTTATTTCAGGTGAGGGAGGGGAACTATCCTAGATATTAATGCAATGAGTCACCTGGTTTAAAAAGTACAAAAACAAGCAAACTAAAATACTTTGGCCTGCTCTTTTCAAGCCCAAATGCAGAAAATGTCTTTCAATAATCTGTGCAGAAATGTGACAGAATGCTTTGGAGCATTCCAAGACAACTGAAGTAAAGGAGATGTGCAACAAGATGTATGAAGTTCAATGCGTCAATGAGATAGAACAACACATGAATGAGAGCTAAAAGAGGGTGGAACCTATAGACCTTAGACCAGACCATAGACCAACCAGAATGCTGAGCACTGGTGAATATTCCCTTGACAAGATCCAGCTCTAGTAGTCTACCTTAGCTATCCCTGTGTTCATAATTCATTGTTCATCCCCAATGCATAGCATTGTCACCAGTCTAGTTAGGCTGTATGACACACTTTGTATGACACACACTGTATCGCACCAGTGAGTACAGTTGACAGCTACTGGTGCTCTCCCTCATTTAAGTTCTGGTGAGTGCAGGATGTCTATGTGGTACCATCACACAGCTTGCGAAAGATTGAAAACATGTTTCCTGTTAGTTTACATTGTAATATTAATGCTTTATTCATCATCCTAATAACTTAACCATGTATAGTATACTGTACTGACAGATTTATTGTCTGCAATTTTATATTATTCATTGGCCAAATTGTTAGCAATCATTTCTAAGTGCCTATCAAATGCATCTTTTTTCAAATTTTTCATAGTAAAATGCCTCATTCTTTATTTACTTAATTCAGCAGTTAGATTTAATTGCTTAAATTTACTTTCTATTTTACACATTTCTCCTACTGCCCATGCATGCTTGACTGACATGTACATTGTGATATTTGGTGACTGGAGATCGGTCAAAATATGTGTATGGACAGGTGCTTGGATGGGTAGCGCAATCATACTGTTACATGACTGCTGCATCACCTGAACTCTATTTGAAGAAGAAATGGCAATGCACTGCAAGCTGAACAAGATAACTGGCAAGAAACAACACAGATGATTGATAAGACTACTTGTGGAATGTATAAAATATGAGAACCAAGAAGCAGCCTCATATAGTTACCCAAGTACCTAGTCTCTCCAGCTGAGACATCAAGAATTCATGGCCAATGAGCTGAAGTGAAACACACAAACCCTCTCACTCCAGCCAAAGAGAAACCATCAGATCTCCCAACAGCTCATTTTAAGCACAAATAATTGCAATTTACTCACCTAGAGCGATGTCTTCAATATGCGTATGGAATGCCCATGCCAAGCAGGTATCCTGGCAGAGCACCCCTTATGACATTGAACTTCAAATGTCACAGCCGGTTCGTGCTTTAGTTACTCACAGGCCGGCTTCATTAACAGAGAGCACCTGCGGATGTCCACAAGCCCGGTCGGACCAAACACACCTAAGTCACAAAATACACTCGCTTTCACGCAGGCGTCCCCCGCCGACACCCAACCTCTCACCGAGCACCTGCCAACAGCCAACATACACGTCGCTCAACGCCCATTGTCTGCGGTAGCGACACAAGCAAGGTTATCGACCATTTCTCCAGGGTCTGGATGAAAATGGAAATCTGCTTTCTCCATCGGCTGTTCCTCCACATTTGATGACGTCATCAAACTTGATAGGTGTTTGCATACATTGCACATGTAGACCAAAGCAGTAGTTTCTAGAATTTTCCAATCCGTTCAAAGCAAGTGACAGGTACGGCGCTACTGTATTAATAGAAACGTGTCAGGAAATGCACTCCGAAAACAGAATGTGCGTTTTGCTCTTGCTCCTCAGGGCGGGAGCAGCGCCGAGGAGCCATCAAAACGTCTAAGATTGCGGCGTCCGGTGCTCATATCGTCCAAGATTGCAACATACGGCATTCATAACGTCCAGCATGCGTCCAATTCCGTGCCCATTGGGAGCGTTTATAAAGTCCAGGTCTGCAGCGTCCAGAGTCGCAAAATCCAGAGTCATTAATTCCAGTGGTTAAAACGTCCAGATCCCTGGCACTCAGGCTAGTTTGGATTCCTGCGACTAGATGACATTATGGAAGCATTTTTGACTCCTGTCGCCATTTCCCTCTTTCGTCAAGAGATGGCACAAGCAACCTTGCATTCCACTGATAATCACGTGATGCGTATAGTGGAGCATGGTTACTGTAAATTACCTAGAAGCCTGGCGGACGTGCCCGACCTGGGCGCGGCCCCGCCCAGGGGCTTCTCGGCGGACTGGGCGTAAGCGCAAGTGTTTTTGCTGGATTCGCACAGAGCGCTTAATGATGGTGCATACGTATATATATATATATATATATATATATATATATATATATATATATATATATATATATATATATATATATAATACTTTTTTGGCGACAGACAGACGAAGCTCGCAAAACTTGCGCGGTATATGGCTGGTGACTGGCTCTTCTATATGTCTCTTCATTTCATTTCGGCACCTCAAACACTTATAATCAGAGCATAAAATACGAGCACGCAAACAACAATAACCTTTTCATTGGACAGCACTCACTGCCGTTTTGACTTGGCAACAACGGAAATTCTTCAGCCGTGCAGAAGACATCATTAGCACCACACACTGTGAATAGCACAATCAATACAACAAATCAATACTGCATGCCAATCACTCAATACCCGTGACATTCATCAGTGTCTTGTTCCTTATCTAAGTGATTTATTTGTAATGCTACTCCAAAAAGATAATTCAACAGTTTTATTAAGTTGTTTGCTGAGAAGTCGTTTGTCGTCATGATTGAGTAATGCATCCAGGATGTTGAGTTTTCTTGCTTCCAGTGTAGATTATAGGATTCCAGTGTTTTGTGTAAGCGCTTGGTGCGTGAGGAGAGTGTTGTGGTGGAGTTGTATGTGATTCCTTGGTGCCCCCTCCTGAGGTGCTCTGCGAGACGCGGAGCAGAGATGTTGTAGTCACACCATTGCAGAATACGGAGCCTTGCAGAAACACCTGGCAGCGGTCAAGAGACGGATAGAAATGACCACGCATCGGAAATCGGTAGTTTCCAACGCTTTATGAAATCAACTGGTATGCGTGTAAAAGACGTTCCGGGCCGGATGTTTCATTAGTACAATTTTAGGTGAGAAGTCGCGACGGATTACGGGAAGGCGCAATGGCGTAATCTCTCGCGGAATTAGCAAGTTGTTCCTGGGGGAATCAGGGGAGACTGGAGACACCCAGGTGTATTCCTTGGTAGGTAAATACCTTTTAGGCATGCACCAAACAGTGGAATATTTATACGTGGGGCTGTAAGCAGTGTCATAAAACCAGGAAATGAATCGGGCAAGGTATGGGGAAGGGGTACATGTGCCATGGCATTTCAGTCAATGGTACTAGATGGGTGCCTTACCGCAAGTACAATAATTCAAACAATTTCCCTCATTTTGTGCACAATATCTCGCCAATGAGATAATAACTGGGTAATTGTTTCAAAGTATGCATTTCCTTGTTTTCATTGCATTACTTTTGGAATGTTTGTGGTTCAGTATTCACTTATAACCAGCAAACTGAAGGGGGGCGGGCATGACCACTCCCTAGTCTTCCCTAGACGGAGGCTGACCCTCTCACACGAAGTTATCTGCGTGCTCCATTTGCTTTGTTCAGGCAGCTCAGATTGCTCAGCACATAACTTCTTGCAAAGATGAACAGAACAGCGACCAATGCCCAAGTTCCACCTATCCAGTACTAATTTATTCAGATCTGACAAGTGTATCAGCAATGGATTTTACCACTGAATTACTTTCCACACTTGAGTTATATCTGTTTGGCATAACCACGAATATTTTTGGCTTTTTACGCAACTCGGGACGCTTCATACCTTACTCAACTAGTCAGAAAACGCAAAAGTTTCGCACGCCGAGCTATATCTTCCTGTGTACCTTTCATGACTGTCTGCCGCTCGGGTCGAAATTTGTTTTGAATATAGGTGTTAAAATGTTACTTTGATACAAGACTAACAAATTACACACATAAGACACTTGTTGCACCTAATTTGTAACAACAAAGGCTAATTGTCGTTCTCATTGAGCATAATCGACCATCATAAGCATAAACAGATGTTTGATTGCGGTACGATAGCATCCGGTACTTCTGATAGGCAAAATCTGATTTAGAGTCTAAAAATTTCGTCGCCAGTCAAATTTATGTCGGGTGTCAGAACCGTTCATAAAACTCGGTAAGCAGAGGATATGTTTTTGGCGGAGCTATTTTTTGGCAAGGGGCGGCGATAATTTTTTTCATTAAACTGGCCTCAGAGAATTAACTGGTCAGCCAACTGAATTGCATTGGTAAAACGTTTTAGTCAGCAGTTGAAGAGAATTCCGTTCCATTTCGGGGTCCCCAGCGGCTTTGATTCTGCTGATAGCCCCCAGGACCGCACGGAGACCCTCAGAAGGATGCATCACAGCCGGTCCCCTCCTCGACGCGGCTAGCCTTCTGACTGAGATATCCAGCGGCGGGTTGGCGCGGGGGCCCTCGCCGATGCCAACAGGCTCCTTACTGGCACAGGAAGTCCAATAATTGGTACCGAGACACTAATTCGCCTTATCGGTCCGTGGTTGAAACGGTGCGGAGGATCATTCGTCCGGTACCAGTGTCCTTGACTGGCACAGGCCTCTTCTCTGCCTCATTGTACATGTGAACCTTTTTGTCATTTCTCATGAATCCTTTCATTGTCAGGGGGGGCCAGACCAGCACAATAGGTCCTTTGAAATACGGGGCCCATCATCGTCCCTATTCAGCAAATGTGCTCCTGGCCGACCTGGGGCGCATTGCCGACACATGGTCTCCTTCCAGGGGCTGTGGTCACTAACCAGCGATGTGGGTGCTTCATTGTTTCAGGTGTTCCGACGAATGAAGGATGCCTTCTGATTGACATTTGAAGATCCTGGCCTGTTGGGGAAATAGCCCTAGATCCCAGAATGGCACGGAACGGGCTGTTTAATATCGCTGCTCTCAGTCAGCTACCTCAATTAGAGACACAGTCGCACGAGGCCTACGATCAATGCTAAAGCTACTCTGACATTTTACAATCCGGTCTTCAGGCTGTGATCCCTGCATATGACCTCCGGCCTGCTCTTAGAACCCTTCAATCGGGCCCTAGATCTTCGGCCACAAAGAACCAAAAAAAGATCCTCGGGATCCATGGGACCCTCAGAGCCTGGGGGTGGGGTGGGGGGAGTCGTGCTTAATTCGGTGTTCCGTGAAAACACAGCTTAAGTGGCCATTTTAAGCGTCCTTGTAATTTTGCATCACTTTAAAATGAATGTTTGGGGCGTTTGTGCCTCTCCGATTGGAATTCAATGTTCATAAAAATAAATGTGATGCCCCGGAGTCAAGGTTCTTGGTGCCTTTTCACCGAAGGTGCCGAACGAGGATTTCGCCTAAGCGGAGTGTAAGACATGGAAATTGTGATGCCACTGTATTTTGTTGCCCCTTGAAAGGGAAGCGTTGGACCACTTTCAATCGTTCTTTCAGTTGGTGTTTCAAGGAAAGAAGTGCAGTGGCGGTCTGAAAGAATGGTGCCCCTTGACCGAATGGGTCGATGCAGGATTTCGTTAATGGAGAGGCACGGGCCTTATATATAGCCTATAGCGTCAGCAGCTGAGTGCGTCGTAAAGCCCCAATGACAACGAAGGCTGCTGGTGCCTGTTTTCCTGAACAGGGTGCTCTTTCTCTGAACGGTCCGATCCATAATTTTTCCGGAGTGAACGGCACACCGATTGTGGTGCCACTGGATTTTGATGCCCTGTTAAAAGTATGGTTTTGGGCTTTGTACATGGCCTGCTTTAATTTAGAGACCCTGGAGGATAAAGATGATGCCGCCCCACAAGAAAGATTTTCGTACCTCCTCGCCCAAGGGTCCGATCCGGGATTTTATCAAGGAGGAAAGCTCAACATACTTATGCGCTTGGAATTCATGGCCCTTTCAGAAAAAAAGGTCTGGGCCCCTTCTGGTACCCTCTGGAATAGTGTGCTTCCTGAAAATAAAGGTTACGTCGTCCCAAAAAGAAGGGTTGGTGCTCCCTCGCTGCATGGACCGACGGAGGGTTGCGTCAAGGGGTACGGCATAAATAAATGGTGCTCCTGCAAGTTGGTGTCTCACAAAAATACAGGTTATGTGGTTCCGAAATGAAGGCATTTTCGCCCCTTTCCGATGAGATTTGGTGCCTCTTTGGGGCATTAAAATCTCATGGGGCCCAAGGGGGAGGAGAATGACCCTATATCCTTTCCCTCTGGACCCGCCCCTGCTTTGTGATGCCCCAGAAATTTGTGCCTCTGGGAAATAAAAGTTATGATGCCCGGTAATTAAGTTTTCTGGTGCTCCCTTGTGTAACAGGCAGATCCAGAATTTTGCGAGGATGAAATGTCTAGATATTGTAGTGTTCATGGATGCAGCCTGTTTAAAACCAAATGTTCTGGAAATTCGAATCGCCTTCTAAGATAAAGGGTCTCCTTAAAACAAAGGTAATGG